TTTTGAGAAATCTTAAAAAAATTAAAGAAAGCTTTGTAATTTTAATCGATTACAAAAAAATCAGACCTCAATATCGCTATCGCTTCCATCACCTTCGTCATCATCATCATTTCCATTGTTGCCACCATTTTCAAAATCACCGATTCTCGATTTTTTTCCGGAAATATCAAGTGGTTCACCGTCAAAAACCTTTCTTTTCCGTTGATTTGCTTCATCCAAATCCTCGATGATCAGTCGTCCATCCTTTGTTAGCCTGAAACCACCACTGCCCATCTCACCATCCTGAAGTTCTCGATCCGGTTTTCTGAAACAAGAAACACGCAATCAAATAAGAAGAAACGGAGAAAAAGCGAATGAAACATGAAGCTCTTTTTCATTGTTAACAGAATACTTTGCTATCGTGTAACGTAGATACAGTAAAAAAAAGATCGCAGTTGTTGCAAAAGGAACAAGGTGTTAACAGCAAGGAAACGAAACTGCCGGCTAAACCCCTTCCCCTTGCCCAGTTGCCCTTCGATTCCACGTGATACGCAAATGTCCCGTCTCCTGACTCGAGTTCTTTCCTCCGTGATATTTAATGATGTGATTAGAAATGAAGTGGTGATTGTTTTTCCGTATGCATAAATATTGTGTAGCGGTAGCTTGGAGCTGCTACTGCTCCTCTTCCTTGTCTCCCCATACTGTACTGTGGTAGCTTGGAGCTGCTGCGAATTTTCTGCGGTTTGCTTTTCCTGTTGTATAAGTTTTCCGATGTTTTAAATAAAGCTTTTTTGTTGGTTTTGATGTGTGTCCTCTCCCCACTGCTCCTCCCTTTCCCCCTCCTCCCCCCCTCCCCCTTCCCTCCATAGCTGCACTTCCTACAGCCGCGCAGGCCATTCAGCCCTTTTTTGCAAACTATGTGTATGCCTGGAGCTACCAAATCCCGAACATTTACCGAACAGGCATCAAAACCCCTTTCGTAATACACTCTCAACAAAAGGCAGAGGCACTCGAAGTAGTCCAAATGTTGCCAAAAATCAAAAGGATAGCATGTAACGTCGGCCTGGTAATCCAAATCTGAATTAAGTACAACGACAGTACGTTTTGTTTTTCGCCTTATCTGGTCGGCTAGTTGCGATTTTCTTCAGCATCATATTCTGATCCAGCAAATCCATTATATCGTCATCGTCATTTTCGTCATCATCATTCTTCAACCAAACTGAGCTTCCTCGTGTTCGACCACCGATCGATTCACGATCCATCTCCATTTCCATTTCATTTTCCTTTAAATATATTTGCAGTATAAAAATTATTCCCAAAAATTTCCAAGGAAGTTTTTAGTACCAATAACCTTTCAAACTATCTTTCTTTTCAGAAAAAGTATCTTAAGGTGAA